TTCTTACTTTACAGCATTTTTTCACACCTGCCTAAAACTTTTGCACAGTACTGTATATTTTTTTCCCTTCAAAACATATGTGCCAGTTGCAGGCAATTCTAAGGAGTTTAGGGTTTTGGGGTTTTTTTGGTGTGCGTGTAGTTGCTTATGAGCCTAAGCTGTGACCTGACAGTCAGACCACCAAAGGGAAAAAACTTTGACTTTGACTTTTCCATGTAGCATTTTTTTTTTTGTCTCAGGGTTGTTCATCCTTTCATATATTATATCAATCAATCAGTTTATTACAGTCATAGACCAGTACAACTAAAAATGCAGATAACATGTCTAATTAAAAATCTTAGATATAATAATAGGTAAAATTTATGTCATAATTATAATTTGGCCACCTAAATGTCCTTTATGTAAGAGTTGCCACATTCAGCGCCGAATGAAACTCTCGCGGAACACAGGTTCAGTCAAAGTAGTTTATTTGGGTGTAATGCACGCAGTTACAGGCAAAGCCAGAACTGGCTTTGATACATTTACATTAATTTATATAGCGTTCCCTTCCCATGCTCTGTAAGACCCTCCTGGCTTCTGCCCCTGCCGTGCTTGGGGTCTCCTTTGCCGGTGGCGCCCCCTCTCCTTTTCTTGATGGCAGGTTCAGCTGTGGTCCTTTGTTCATGGTTGCTGTGCTGGCGTGGTGGTTCTCATGTGGGCAAGCTCGTGATTGCTCTTAATGGGTTAGCAATCGCTGCTCGAGCGGCAGAGCTCCTGTTTCCATTGTTGATTGCTTGCCTGCGGCGGTTGGGGAAATCCACGGTTACAATGTATTTGAATTCCGCCTTTGGTTGATTGCCACCACCCGTTGGTAATTTGCTTGCGGTTTGGTTGCTTCGTCTTTTGGCTGCTGGCGCCTGGGGTGCTGAAACTGACTAGGTTGAATGGTGCGCGGGGGCGTTGAAACTGACTAGGTGGAATGGCATGTGCTATGCCGGGCTGAACCTGACAATTTATACATGCAGTCAAGCGGCCTATACCATAGTATAATTATTACTCCTTAAATTATGATATCCTACAGTTATTGATCGGTAACTGTAATAAAGGTGATGATAAAATGATTATATCTAAAATTGAAGTATGTTGGTTATATAAAACTATTTACAATAATATATTCGTCAGATTCCGATGAATCTTTAATGCTGCTGCACAGAATCTAGCTACCTGCGCTGTGACTATAGTCTGTTTGTCTTTAAGCAGGATCTGTAGATAGTCGGTATCAGAGCGGCCTGGATACCTATTAATCATCGGATGAATAAATTTTGTTTGTTGTCTCTCTAGAATGAGCATTGAAGAAGGACGTGGCCAGTGGTTTCTACTTCTCCGGAATCACAGGGACAGAGCCTTTCGACTAATTTTTGTATTTGCCATCCAGAACAGCTGAGTGGAGCGCATGGCATCGTGTAAGCGAAAAGGCTTTCCGATGGTTCGCTGTCTCTAACTGGCTAAGATATCTGGCAGGGTTGACAATGTATCTAGTATGGTCTGGAGACAGGCATGATGGAACTTTCTCTAAGTCCGTTTGTCTCTCTGTGTCCTCTACTCTTAATCTTAAATTTTGTTTTGCCTGTTCGTAGTCCAATTCAAGTATTGAGGAAGGAGAAAATCCTAGTCTTGCAAGGTTAGACTCTACAGCCTTGATCCATGAAGAAGAGAATTTGTCTTCAAGGATTAATGGTGCAAGGCCTTGAGGAAAAAAATTAAGCTTTAGACAGAGGTATAAGGAAGCTATACAGATTCTTG